CACACAAACAAAAGGAAATACTAAAACAAAACTTCAGAACAATATGTTTTTTACGATATAAAATAATACGGTAATCACAGAAGTGCAACTAATAAAAAAATACGAACATTTGTTCTGATGCAAGCAATTTACGAAAAAAAGTAATCAGAAAAAAAATTATACTCGTTCCTTTTCTTTTTTTTCATATTATTTTTACAAGTGTTTACATGAAAAAAATATATTGTTTTAGTCATAAGAAAATTTATTTTTCAACATTGAATCAAATTATTTCTTGTCGAATTTCTTAAAGAGAAACGTTTTATAATTAATGACACTTTTTAATTGATAGAGAATAAATAGTTAAAAAAAATGACCTTTTTACTTAAAATGCGGAAATAAATGTAAGTTACTTTTTTCCGAAACACTCATTGCCGTTTAAATATCTTTATTTTGAAAATTAAAAGAAAATGTCACTAACCTTTTACGAAAAGATTATGAATGTTATGATTTTATCTAATTGAAGTACTGATTATATTTAAACTAGCAAAAGAGATTCATTAAAAAATTTGGACGCATAATTTTTGGGAATTGTTTCTTGATCAATTTTTTCAAGAACGAGGTTTGCCATAAAAAATAATAAAAATAAAACTGCATTTACTCAATTATTCCACAATATTTTGGCATTTATTTCAAAAAAAAAAAAAATTGAAGACATTTTTTTGAAGAAATTTTAATATGCATCCTGTTAGAGGATATATTAACATATTAATAGTGATATTAATGTCACCGAGTGAAGTTCAATCGAATGACTTTTTATTGATGTGGTTTTGCATATTTACTATCTTCCTTTAAAAGAATGTACATAGATCATTATTTTCATGATATTCTCCGTTTTTCTGCTAATTATTTTACATAAAAAGTTTAAAAAATCACATGCATTACACATAAGAAACCATATTGGAAAAAATATCAAGATAAAAGAATCTTGATACCTTGAAGAAAAGCAGCAATAAATCTTTAGGAGTAGTAAAAATTAATTAATTTTTTTAAGGTGATAATATATATTGGAGGTTTAATAAAATTCTGATAACATGAAATATTTTAATTAAAACTTATTTTCTTGATAAGGAGGCATCCCAATGTTTTTCAATATCTGCCCTTATTTTTGATTAAGAATAAAAATTCTAATTTTGGAAAGTAAACATAAAAACTAATAATTCTGTTCTCACATCCTTGCCTTTAGTTTTATTTATATATATTTTGCAAATTCACTTATTATTTTTTTTGTAGTATTCGGTCAGTCATTTTTTCATGCTTGCTTTTAATATTTTTCACTTACGTACTGCTAAAGAAATTTGGAACTCCACCCGCTTCTCTGCCAAAATGGCATTATGGCAGGAAAGATCACTTGTCATCAAAGGAAACAATCTTTCTGTTATAAGAAACTAGCTGGTATACCCGTTCTTCGCACGGGGAAGATTAAACAATACAGATTGAAAGATAAAGAAGTTTTTAATGAGTTAATTTTACGTGAATCGCAAATTAAACAAAAAAAAGAAGAAGTTTTTTGTATATCTCAGTTGAACAAAAAGAACAAAAATATATTGGTTAAATTTTAAGTCTGTAGATCTAATAGCTGATAAAATGGATTTTTTTATTTATTTATAACTCCCCTTAACTCTCTTGTAAGTCGATTTTTGAAAACACCTTCCTAAGCTGATGTCTGTTCAGCAAAAGTAACACATTGTTGCATATTTTGTGTAACGAACATTTAAAATAGTGTGAATACATATTAATATTATTTTCTGTTGTATTTATTTTATGTTAAAATCTTGCCACCACCTCTCCTTTCGAAATATAGTTTTATTACGAAATAAAAAAAAATACTGATTACACTGATCAACGGAATAAATTAAAAGCGAGCACACACTGAGGCATGAAGTAGATAAAACGAAAGGGAAAGTTTTGCTTCACATAAAGAAATAGATATATGCTGTCTTGGGCTTTTTTACAGATGGCAGAATTTGTTCCTACTTTCTTGAAAATTATCATCATATTTTGGAAGCTTCACACAATATGTTTATAAATTATAGCCTATGTGTTATGCTGATGTATAAGCTATATTATTGTAAAGTTTCATTAAAATCTATTGAGTTGTTTTTACGTGAAAGAGCACCAACTATCCAGACAAACTTTCCCATTTATAATATTAGTAAGGATTGATAGAATTGACATATGCGACAAATAGCTAAATAGCTCACCAAGTAGCTAAATTTGGTGGCAAAAATAGATGTAACAGTAAAAATGCAGAATGTTTTAGGTTAGAATTTTCAACTTGGCAGGAAAACGTTATAAATTTCTAGAGAGTTGAATCAAGTGACATTTTTTCCCTTGAAAAACCTACAATTCCCCATGTACCCCAAAGTATCACATGAGGCTTAACGAAGTACGTATAAAGCACATTACAAAAGGAATCAAAAAGGAGGAAAATTTTTAAGTAATGAAGGGTTACAGTTAGTTATAAGGATTTCATAAAAATAGTCAAAGGAACTCTTGTTGAAAACAAGCTGGTGAAAAAAGAAGACAATTTATATTAATGCCTTTTAGTGCAAGTTTTAGGATCTTTCTTTCACTAACAGATTTAGAACGTAGAAGGAGTGAGCGTTCAAATTTTTCTATAGGAAAATAACGGAACAAAATTAAATCTACTCAAGTAACTTTTGACGTTACTATGCTCAGTGAGCAATTGGGATAATTTTGTAATTAGTATGAAAATTATGGCATAACAAGTTTCATATTAAAGGATGGTTGGATCCTTGATTCCATCATTCTTTCTCTCATTACCTTTTTATAAAAAAAATTAGAGACATCAAAAGTAATGTCAATTTCGCGCAACATTTGAGTCGAACATTTGACAGCAACCATGTGTTTCATTGGCCTTTTGCGAAAATGTGATTACTGAGATCATTATTTACTTGATTATTGTATCTGTACTCTTGGAGTACAAATGCGTTAATTATTTGCTGTCAGAAGAAAAATCCCCTATAATTACATTGTAGTTCTAGAATAAATGATGATATATTCCGAAAGGACCAGCCGTCAATTACGTAGGATTTTCTTATCTTTGATAGAAGACAACCACGTAACAATACACAACATGCCCACCTTTATAAATTTTATTCGAAAAACTCAATAATTCACGTTATGTAAAAATATTTCAAAACCAATTAATTTATCCTGATTATAATGACTCTGAGAGAGAAAATAGTTTTATTTTTTTAATTAAAAAATGGTATTCTTTTGGGGTAATTATGTTTCCATCCACCTATTTCTTACCTTAAGAATAAGATTAAAATACAACTTTTCAAGAGATAGATATTATAATACAAATTATGAAACAATTTAATGTAAAATATTAGATCTGTACACTCTCTCTTAATACCTCACATTTAATTTCGGCATACGTCAAAAATGTGTATTCAATTCAAAGTGCTAAGCCTAGTAGCATTAAGAGTTACAATTGAATTAATTTTTGCTATGCGGTTGACTGAGGGGGGTGTCACATGATATTCCTAATTATATTTTATCATTACTCGTCTTCTGGAGTAAAACATTCTGTTTTATATAAAGTTGCTACCCAATATATGTAATATTTTAATACATGCAATTAGCTGCTGAAACTGACAGATTTAATTGTTTCGACTTAACTTATTTAATCATTTCTATCTCCTGTTCCATATATGCATTTTTATCAAATATTCGTGGTGTTTTCAGACATAAGTATGCCACTTTCTTTTTTGGTGACATGCTTATCTTAATTTACATTTGTCATTTAAATATGCGAAGATGTAAACAGAACACTTACCTTTGCGGAATTAAGAATTTTCTAATGACTTTTGTAAATGTGATACCTTTGTAAAGTCATTTTTGTTTATTTGGGTCTCATGAATAATACACAGAGGACTAAGAAGCGTTGTATTGTAATTATTTTCCCTTGTCAAAAACTTGTACAATTGTTAAGAATTTTGAGACTTTATCTAGAAAACATGAAACAACAGTGAATATATGTATTATTATGTATACTTTTACATGTAAATATATTGGTTATTAATAAAATTACTACTGAAATGATATTTTTCGACTTAGTCTATAGAAATATCGTAAGTTTACTGAAAATACTAATTGATAATAAGTTTGGAAAATATGCGCTACTTTTTTCTAGTTTCTAAAAATATTACATGAAAATTGCATTAAGAAATTCCCTTTACGAGGAAAAGGGAATTCTGAGAAATTATGATAATCTTTTTTTTACTGAGAGAAGATAGGCAATATAGTATAAGTGAAAATTTAATAATGTCGCCAGTTTTAACAATTTAGCATGAAAATTGTGTTAGTAAATTCAGAGAAGTTATAATCTTTTTTTTTAAATTAAAGACAAGAAACATTTTGTGAGCAAAAGTTTTACAAAACTAGATGATACTATCTATTCCTTGTTAAATTTGATAAATTCGATTTCTGATGGGGTTTTTTAATTATAAAAGTATTAAAAAAACCCTGCTCATATTTAAGCATATAAAAGGTTAATAAGCGTGGATGAGTTTTATTTAAGTCGCAATATAAAGAAATACGAGGTACATTATCGAGTCACATCATGATTTGTGAATATCAGTCAAGAGACGAGGAAGTCATCTGAGCTGTCAACCTTACTTCCACACCACACCAACTGGTAGACATTGAGCATCGACAGATTTAACGTGCATCGACACCCTCTACTTGGATAAAAGAGGAAAGAGGTTAAAAATAGAGTTTTGGATTGTTGTTGTAATGTGGTTTTTATCCTGGGATACATATGGAATACAAGGGGAAGAACTGAAACACACAATACACACACAGAAGACTATAGAAATTTATTGCACATGATGAGCACAGCATACAACAGAAGAGGTGCGCTGCTTTCCATTTGAAACGGGAATCCATTACAGGCAAAATTTCGACTTCTTTTCTCGAAGAAAATGCATCCATGCCTTATTCGGGATTCGAACCCGAGCCCACTCGGTTAGAAGCCGAGGTTCATACCCCCCATGCTGGCTGGCAGAGTTTTGAATTTAGTTATTAATGGTGGGGGAAGGGCTGAACATTGCAGTTTGGTGATTTATATTTTCTTTCCCTTTGAAAACAAAATCAGAAACACTCCTAATATTTTAGAATTTTGAAATAAATTATCAAAATAATCACAAACTCTGAATGTTTTTTTTTCCTTAGAGATTTCTTTCAGTTAAGAAAACAAAATTCAATGTTTTGTATTTTTAGAGCAAAACTATAATAACAAGAAATGTTTTGAAAAAAAATAGTCATTTTGAAAAAATTAAGGCTGCTAAAAGAGAGCCTTTGAAAAGCATTACACCCCTCAGTGCGAAATTAATTAGATGTCTAAAAATAGTTTGATTTCAATAATTTTATTGCTGAGATTGTGTGTGTAATAAATGTGTGAAATATTTTAAAATATATTTGTCCCCCTCTCTCCTGATTTTGACATTTTGTATCCTTTGTAAATGTACTGCATAATTTTTAATTTAATTTCAATGATTTTTTAATGGTTGTTAAACTATTTTTGAATCATGAATATATACATAGTTTTTTTATAGTTAAATCACTATTTTATGTACGACGTTTTGTTTGCTACAAATTTAAGTTAAAGTTATGTACCGTATATTCAGGCGTATAACGGGCAATTTTAACAAATAAAATAACATCGAAATTTATGGATACACACTGTACGCCGCATATAAAAATGATAGTTTTGCTAATAAAGAAAAGATGTAAAAAAATGGTAAATTTCTATATGAATCAAAATACTAATTACGTAAAAGAAATAACACACCTTATCAAAACGTTCTTTATTTTATGACATGAAAAAAGCTCGTTATATTCATTTTCCGTTACATCTTCAGACACATCGATGAATTCCATTTCATTTTTTCACCATCATCGTTTATTTGATCCATAAATAATCATCTTCCGTTTCATCTAAAATGTTTAAATTGTTTTTTCTTAGAATGATCTTTTTAATTATAACACGTTTACTTTCATAATATCAGCGTTTCTCAAACTATGGGGCGCACGATAACCCTACTTGGCATATCGAAAAGTAGAAAATGAAGGATTATTTAGAGTAACAAAAATAATAGTTCAACACCATATATAAAAAGAAAAATCACCCTTTGTGTCCTACAATACGACCTTCATTATAAACGGTACAATTTATCAAGTATTAAAATTTTGTATGCAATTCTTTTTGTATATGATACGCCCATGGAAAAAAATCCCTAGAAATTATTAGACTTGATTTCAATTTATTATTGATATTTAGTATCAAATATATTGTGCCGTACTGATACATTTACTCGTATAAGTATATTATATCAGAGTAAATGTGTATTTTATTTTTTATTATATCAGAATATATCTCGTTTTGTTTCCTTTTAGTAAATTGATAACTTTTTAAATAATCTTTTATTTTCGACATGGTCGCGCCCCCTAGAAGGGAGCGCCCCACAGTTTGAGAAACACTGGCTTAGGAAGATGTTTTCAAAAATCGACCCACAGGAATAAATAAAGAAAAAAAATATTTTTATTAGCTATTAAATATACAGTGCTAAAATTTAACTAACATGGTTTTTTTTTATTCAGCTGAGATATAAGAAAACCTTTTTATATATTTTGTTTAATTTGCAATTCACCCCTAAAATTAACTCTTTAAAAACTTCTTTATCTTTCAATCTGTATTGTTGATTTTTTCAATTCTTCCGTGTGAAGAACGAGTGTGCCAGCTTGTAATAAACAAAAAATTAACACTTTTAGGATGTACAATAAATATACAAACACAATCATCAAATTCAGCTTCAAAAGGGCTTCACTGTTCTTTATTAGCACAAGTTGCATGGTCTTCATAAAAAGACAAAAAGTACCACCATCTCCTTCTCTCTGTGACAACATACTTCTCTCAGTTAAGTCACAATTCCTTTTATCGATTCAACACTTCATTAGAGTTAAGTGCAATCCCTCAACCTTCGGATGGATTCTTTATGTAGAGAGGTGAAATGATTTATACCGATGTAGCCCTACTTATCCATTTCGCTAACAGACAAAAAGTGAACTTAACATAGCGGAATTTAGAAGTTTAAGAAGTTTTTAAAAAATAACTAAATGGTAAATGGTGGGAAAAAGAGTCTGAAATGAAACATGGAAAGTTATGCGCATAATTTGTTCTTAGTATCATATTTAGTCATTTTATGTGACTGTTTTTGTAGGATAAAAGCAAAAGTGTAAGCTTAATTGTTAAGGTGGAAAACTTCACGAGCTGCGTGCACGAGCAAGTCAGTGGTAGCTCGGTTTAGAGTCCAGGTCTTGAAAACTAAAGATAGCAGGTTCGGGTCTAACACTTCCAGATAATTTGTTAAGTAGGATTGATTGATTATTTGTTTATTAATGCTACAATTTGAAACTACAAGAGGGCCATTGATGACAAACCTTATATTTTTAGACTACTTCAAGTGACGAGAGCAATACTTGAGTTGTCATCCCATTCTCCAAACTTTCACACTACGCCAATGTTTAACGCTCATCAACCCTTCTGCATGGTGGATTTTTAGGGGCACCAAAACTCAAACTCATGGTTCGGCTGAAACAATGTCTCGTCCATAGTTTCTCTACCATGGTCATTCGGCTATCAACTCCTGTCATAGAACAAAACATGCCGGTTAAGTCTGTGACGGGTTCTATACGCAACCATTCTATTAATCCTCTTGGGGAAATTCTTCTGTAACCGTGGTTTGAGTTAAAAGAAAACTTGATTTTATTGTAATTTGAGTGCTATTTAAACCCTGGCAATGAGTGGGTTAGAGTTAGTCCTTACGTTATCATTCAAGTGAGACTAAAATTTGCCTTTCGGAAACGTTGATGGAGGAAAGAAGTTTTGGATTGGAGTATATCCAACCAAGGAGAGATCAGACTAGTACTCTACTAAAGGATTAAAAGCAGATGAGTGTTTAATGAATTGGTACTTACGATGAGGAACACATTTAAATTGCCCCGTCGGTGTATAATCTTTAGTAGATCATAAATTGATGAGTCTGAAATAAAAGTAATTATTTTTTTGACAATGTCTGATGATTTGGTGTCCCAAACTACACATGCAACTCCCAGGATGCTACAAGTCTAACAGTCTCTTCTTGTGAACGTAGTTTGGAAGTGACCGAAAATAAATCAGTTTAACAAACAACAAACTTATCACCATGGAAATACCCTATAAAAGATATAAAGAAATTTCAAATTTTTGTTAAGAACTGAATATATATATATATATATATAATGAAGGTATCTTTTATGCTTAGCAGTCATTTGTAGCAATTTATTTTTTATTTGTTTGTCTGGTGTTTGACGCAATAGTTATTAAAAATACAAAATTCGTCAGAAGTAGCCTTAGTATTTTGTTTCTAGAGCGACTTAAATAATTCAAAGTCGTATAAGAGTTTAATCTAAAATTTGATTCTCATTCCATCACAAACTATTATTTTTAAAAATGAGACATTAAATCGAACTGGTTCTTATAAGCCTCTTGTGGAACGTAAATCAATAAATTTTTAATTAATACTGCACTAGAATAAAACGTGAACTATTGGCGGGAATTGTAAATGCCATTCAAGTGACAAGGTCATAACCTAAGCTGCTACCTCGCTCTTCTAACTTCCACTCCAAACCACACAGAAGGATTTTGAGATTCAATTTGATTTAAACGAACACCGTATTTTTTGTTTCTCAATACAAAAGTATGGATTGGTGTGATATTTCTCTTTGTTTTTATTCTCAATAGACTTGTAAAAATGTATAGTTTTTTTTTAAAAAAAAAACTTGTTGAATGAAATATTTGGTGAATTGATTAAAAATGTATTTTAATCAGTCAATATATTGAATCAAAACATTTACATTTATCAATTATAATCAACTTTCCAACATCTTTTACAGCTAGAAAGTTGTGTTGTGCACGTTTAATATACACGCAGCATGTAAACCTACCATTTGGTATAGAAATTTCAGTAGAATACATTTTTAATCTTATCGAAAAGTGCCTCACAATTAGTTTTTCATGTTCGCAAAAAATCTTTGATTTCAGCCATTAATGACAACCCTAAATAATATTATTTCAGAAAACAAATTCAAAATACGGATTTAAACAAAAACAGATATCTAAATAAAATTGCCTGAAAATTACAACTGTGAGAAATATGTTAGATGTGTGTGTAACATTTTTCTTTAAAATAATATGTTATGATACATTTTTCTAATTTGTGGTAAAAAAAAATTACACAATAGACGTCAAACTTAATCTTTAGCCAATTTATTTAATTTTTGGATAATCCAGTGTAAAAATAAATCCATATGGAGCAATTTAACGAAACCCGTATCTAACTAATAAGGATAATATTGATTTATTATATTAATATTTACTCACCTTGCGCAATCCCTGAATAGTAATATCTGTTAATTAAAAGGATTTGATTCAAGCAGACGCACTTCGATTCCCTTTTAGTACACTTGCTTTGATCTCAGTAAAGCTTTTATGATATTTTCAAAGGATCTTTTCACACGAGTCAACGTGTGCAGCACATAATAAAAGGAGTAGACAATCGGGAGCTAGTTTTGAATAGAAATTACTTGGATCGCTTCACACGTGGTCAACTGGTGATCAACTCTCACAAGTTCTTGAAAACAACGATATCCTCCCCATGAGTTTAGTAAACTAAAAGGATATTAAGGAAATTATGCTCTTCACACGCTGCATGTGTATTGAATATTGAGAAAGCTTTTTATTGCTTCTTCATGCTCAATCATTGAATCAACGTGAGTCAGGTACTCCCTTTTCAGTCAACTTTGTGTTAGCGTGTGAAAGGACTAGACACGCTGACCACTTCTCTTCACACAAGGGGTGTGGGGACAAGAAAAGCGTTGCCTCGTTTGAAGCCGGTTTAATATTGCTATCACTCTTTTTTTATTATCTCTCTTTTGCTTGTTTTTCTTCTGATTCATTCA